TTACATTGCGTTTGAAAAGTATCGTTTGTGAATTGATTCTTAATAAATTGATGCTTTTGGACATCATTTGTATTAATTGTATTTTGTACTATCATTAAACAGAATTCGTTAATGTTTGAAGAATAGGAGTGATGACGGATATTAGATTGCGCATTTCGTTTTTGATATCATTGACGGATGATTCTACAAGACCAATACGTTGTAAATTTTCAGTTTGAGATAATGAGGAAATAGTTTAATTCTGATTATTAGTAATCGTTTGTGGAATTTGTTGTTTGGAAGTTTGTTCATCAAAGGGCATTAAGTAGTCGTCATGCGAAGGGAATTCATAATTTGGATCAGCAATGTGATTTGGGTCATATTCAATGTTATGCATGAATTCAAGTCGATTTAAACAGAAACCAATTTCGTTTAAGTCGTCAGATTGGACCATAATATCAGATTTGATCGCTTTAATCTCGTCGTCGATTGCAAGAAGTCTATTTTCAAATGAATCAAGTTTCTTTTGTACTAGTTTGAGCGCATCAACTATATTCTTTGGTGTCTGAGGGAGGTCCTTAATGATGGGTGGATTTTGATTGCTGACAATATTTGAAAATGAAGGATTGTTTGGATTGGTTTTGTTAAAAGTACAGGATGGTTTGTATGGTTCAGGTTTAAAACGATCATACAATGGTTTATATGGGTTGGCAGGTTTTCGGTCTGAACAATCTTTAAATTCATGTCCTGGAGCACCACAGCTACGACAATGTTTAGTAGAAAGGTCCATCCAAAAAAGTATTCTTTCTTTAAATTTTTGTGACTGCGTCACCGCAGCATCTAGGTCGTCAAGAGAAGCAAAATTGATGAAAGCATAAGGTCGGAGACAATATTGTTGATCCCTAGAGATAAAACAAGATTTAGCTTTGATGTGTACTAGAAAGTCCTGTAGTTACTGTTGATTAGTATTGAGAGGAAGTCCCGTTAGTTTTAATTTGAATTGTTGGCGCAGTGAAATTTGCATAGGGTCTAAATCGGTAGGTTCAATACGTAGAGCATTTTCCAAGAATTGGATAGACCAGTGCTCATCGTAAAAAGGTTTGATAGTTTCGGCTTTTTCAAAGACAATGAAGACAATTTGCCACGGATCACAGATAATCATGGAGAATTGGGTGATCATTCCATATTTGACAAAGTAATTTCGTAATACATCTGATTTAACAAACAAAGGGATGTCAGAGATCTTTAGGGTCCTTCCTTTTTCAGCATTCTGTTTGATCTGCTTTTGGGTTGGGTCCACAACCGTGAAGATCAGATTATGTTGTGATTCTTGAGTATCCTTAATTGTATGCAGGAGTTCATCTATTGTACGGAAATAGACAAAGAATTTTCTCAATTTGGAAATGTAGTTGGAACCCTGATACCCATTATAGCGAATGAATAAGGAGTTGATATTGGTACGTTTTTCAGCAATAGATTTGCCTTTTATATCGGACATGTTATCAGTTGCGTAAAAACGCGTCGGTGCAGTAATAATATTATATGTAACTCCTTTTTGCTCTTGTTCACGTGACTCATTTTCAGAAACTTCATTGTCCCAAGATTATTTGTTTTTTTCTTTGTCGTTGTCGAGAAGTTCGTAATCAAAACCTGTGTCTTTAAACAAGTATTCATCGTTGTTCTTGGCGTGCATAGAGTCATTTGTATTAAGTACTGATGAAATTGGGGTTTGTTGTTCAGTTGAAGTGACAGTTGGGTCAACTTCCATGTCGGCTGGTTTGTAAGTTTCAGTATTTTCTAAAGTTTGTAAGGTTCTACAGGTGTTGGGATAACAGTTTCAGGAGTTTGATTATTAACGATATTTTGTACTGGGATATTGTCAGTTTGTTCATTTGAAATGGTGATAATTTTTTGTTTTTTGAGAGAAGTGTTTTCAGTTGTATTTATATTTTTAGAACCAGAAGCTTGAGCATTGTTGTAGTTTGGTCTTTTGTTAATTTGTTGTGTTCGTTTGTGTTGTTTGTTAGCAGAGGTAGCTCTAGTAATAAGCATTTTGTTTTCTTTGTCGATTTTTTTTAAGTAACTGGAAGGTCGTAAGAAAGAGTTTTTTTTTTCACCACTTTTTTATAAACAATCTTACTATATTGCTGTTTCATACCATGTGAAAAAAACTTGTCCAAAAAATAAATAGAAATTATGCTTCACTGCCTGGTGTTAAAACCAGTGCAGATCTTACCTATATAAGTTAACCTAGCACACATTTCAGATATGCGCAATATCGAGTGGCTGGATTAGTGGATCATCTATTGACTCCTACTCTAGCGAGGAATTAACTGATAATATACGATACTTTTTTTTTTTTAAACTCCGCTAAATCAATTATTGATTATTTAAAAGGATATGAGAAATGATATATTAATTGATTGCTCTTTCGAAAACTTTTGCAAAGTAACTAAAGATGTCAACCTCTTTTTATGGCGATTACTACTTTAGCTCTAATAGAAGAATTAACAGTCCAAAAACCAGTGGTATGTGATGTTTGACTTCATTTTAAATCCCTTGAGGGTAGGATAATAGCAGTTAATTTAACGTAGAGAGCGTCACTACCTCTACTACCTCTACTACCCTCACTACTTCCACAAGCTCTATTACCTCTAATAAAAGGTAAGTAAATATTGACAACTGATACTTCACATTTAATTTTTGGGTAACAAATAATTCTTCTATAATGGTAGCACTTCTGCTGTTCTTAAGCCTATTGAAGACGAAAAATTAAGAAAGCTCCGCTGATTATGGTGGGAAGAGGGCAACATACACCCACAAGCAAAATGGAAAGAGGCCAAGTAAGTTCTATCATACAATTGTTTATGAATTAGCGACTCATATAAACCAATTTTCGCTGATTACATAAGGCTCCCCTACATTATTGCTGAGGGAATCACATTAGAGAAATACGAAGAACGCACAGATAAGTTTAACTTCTTGCTTTTTGGGAATGTAAAATCATCATTAATGAACTTCCATCAGCACACCACGAAAGCTTTATTGGTTCTATCTCAACAAACATAATGATGAAATGCGGTCCTGTGTATGGAACTGATGCTGAAATCAGAAGTCTTGGCACAATTCGTAATTATTAATATACTAACTGCTTCAGCCTTATGTTTGTAACATTATATTAACCTTTGTTTTTCTTAAGGAACTCGCACTGAAAATTCCGAAAAAGAACCTGATGCATGTTTTCGCTCTGAAAAACCAAAAGTGTCATCACTAAGCAAGAGCAATGGAAAGGTACCTTCTTTATATTTGTTCTAAACTATACAACATCGAGGGTTCATATTTTCATGATTTCAGGAAGATCCTTGGCCAAACCTTGTCATTGAAGTTGCGTATTCTGAAAGCAAATAGCATGTCCTAGACAAGGTGAAATAGTATTGGTTAGGTAATTTTAACTGTGTCCATGATGTAATAGTCGTCAAAATCGATACAGTTTCTAGTGACCAAATTCCTAAGCGTATGCAGGTATACTATCTTGTTTGAGATGCAGGTGACATTTCAATGTTTGCTATTCTAAATTTAATTAATTGTAGACTTGGCATTTTTGCATCTCAGATAAACGTTATTGATATAGAGATGTCCTATATCGAAATTATGTAATATTACAAACAAAAATAATTTCTTTTTTATCAATGTGTTAAAATTTCTAATGTGATATTTTAATTGTTAGTTTGAATTTAGAACTCATGACAAATATGGAAATCCAACAAATATTCAACAGAATCAATGTATTATCAACATTTCACTGGATTATTTATATCACGATAGATTTTCTAATATTGTAATTCCTCGACAACTTCTTCCTGATCCGATTGCATTGGATTTCTTTTTAGTTCGAGAATCATTCCTTTGTATGTATCGAGAGGAGTGAATGACAGAGAAATATTATGTGTTATTCAACCAAATATAGAGTTCACATAATTTATAGAACAAAGCATAAAATTCTCATATGGAATTTATAAATGATTCCGATGTAATTGTTTAATGCAATAAATGTTTATCAGAAAAAAATCCATGTATACTTGCTTTATTGTTACTAATAAAATATATTAGGCAAGGTGTCAGTTACATGAAATACAGTTATGAAAATTTTTATTTATTGTCTATTATTTATTTTTGATTATTTTTTGTACATGTAATATCGAGGAGAAGGGCTTTGATCTCGTTGTATACCACCAATGTTCTTGCCGATTGGTCATCAATGTTGCTTGTAGACTTGACATCCCTGATTCGGTCATCATATGCCTTGTAGTAACAATACCAGTATAAGATTTTCTTTTGTGAGACCTTCATTTCCACCCTAAATAGATCAACTATATTTTGCGATGTAACTTTAATAGATCCTGTTAGAATCGCTTCTAAAGAGAATTTGGGAATCTCAATATCAAATGTTCTACCTCCAGTTTGCTTAAGCAAACCTACCTTACCTTTCATATAAGAAGATAACTCGTGCCTCAAATATTGTTTTACTTTCTGTTTGGCAGAATCCAAAGAAGCTACAACTGTTTCTAAATTCGGGTTCTCTTTGTGAACAGTTACCCCTGGTAACAAATCATCTTGAAGTTTCTTTTCTCGCTTCCTTTGCCTGATCTCATCACCAACCTTCTTCTTAATTTGTCAGATGAGGATACGGATTCGGATTCGGATTTGTCAGATTCAGATTGAATCAAATTCAGATTTTTCGGATTCGGATTGAATCAGATTTTGCCCAAATCTGATCTGATCCAATCCGTGCAGAACACTAGGTCAGGTGTATCAGACACTATAAGTCTTCACTGAATAAAATATATGTATTCTGTAATAAACTGACCTGTTCTCAAACTGGTTTTTGTACAATACATGCTAAATCTGTTTATAAGAAAAACTGGCTAAAGAGGCACAAATAAGTAGGTAGGATTTGTAATTTTAGTTAAAAATACTAAAGCAAAGGAATTTTGAATATCTACTTTGCAGAATTTTTTAGAATCGAAACTATATTGTGATCAAGTTGAAAATTTATCATAGAATTTATAATCAAGACCTAGTTATGATATAGTTTCATGATGTTACGTTAAGGATAAATAAATCGTACAAATAAAGTTGATTCATGTTAAGAAAATTGTCATCTGATTTAGCCAGGTTGTATAAAGGTGGTAATGATATCGCCAGAGAATATTGAATATATAGTGAATAGATAACAAACAAATAGTAAATATGTATTAAATATGTATTAAATAGATAGTAAATAAATAGTAAATATATAATAAAGCTTTTATTTCGAAATTGCAAATAAATTGTAAAGTATTCTATAAGATCTATTTAATATACATTAAAGTATTTTTAATCTAATCGCTTGTAAATCTAGTATTCTAAATTATTAATAAAAATATAAAACTATTCTATAAATATAAATTGTAAACTATTCTATTAATAAATCGTAATTAATAATAATTATTAAACAGCTTTAAAGAAATACAAATTTCTAATATACAAATCATTTCTAGGATCAAATTTGCCTTTGATACATTCTTCTTTTTTACAATAATGAACAAATGATTATTAGCATTTACTAAACTAATAGAGAAAACCCTTCACCAATTGTCATTTGTAATCTGTATATCAGACAATTAAGCTTTTTTTGATTTAATTCTTTAAACCAATCAACAATAATAAATGCGAATCAAAGGTTGTCCTTTTTATGGCAGAATATTGCTTTTATAATCATAAAATTATCTCCATCTTCAACATTGATTAATACAACATCCCTGATATATAAACGACGTAAAGAGGTATCACTTTCTTTTTCAAAAATAAAACTAGCATATTTGAAGAATATTAACGTGTTGTTAGTAATCACAGAATTGTTACCAAAATCTTTATAATTAGCTCTAATTCTACTTGGACATTCATCAATAAAGATGTTTAACATTTCTTTGAAGAACATATTTCTTTAATGATATATTGAAAATTCATTTATCTGTTAAGAATGATAATAAATCGTTCTTTTTGGAACAATAATTGAATCATTCTTAAAAATGATAATAGATTATTCTTTTAGAAATTATTCTTTTTGAAACGATAATTGAATCATTTCTTAAGAATGATAATAGATCTTTTTTTTGGAATAATAATTAAACTGTTCCTTAAGAATAATAATAGATCGTTCTTTTTGAAATAATAATCAAATTATTCCTTAAGAATAATAATAGATTGTTTTTTTAAAATAATAATCAAATCATTCCTTAAGAATGATAATAAGTTGTTCTTTCAGAATAATAATTGAATCGTTTCTTAAGAATAATAATAAATCATTCTATCAAAATAATTCTTTTTATCATTTTATCAGAAAAATTCTTTCTATCATTTCTTTAGAATGATGTATTATTATTTTATCAGAATAATTCTTTCTATTGTTCCTTTAAAATAATGCATTATTATTCTATCAGAATGATTCTTTCTATTATTCCTTTAGAACAATGTATTATTATTCTATTAGAATGATTCTTCTGTTATTCCCTAAGAATGATATACTATAGTTCTATTGGAACAAATTTTTTATCGTTCCTATAGAACAATGATTTATTATACTATCAGAATAAAGCTTCTATTGTTCTTTAGAACTATGTATATCATTCTATTTGAATGATTTTTTTATACTTTCTTTAAAAAAATTTTTAAATTTCAGCTTAAATTTAAGCTCGAGTTTTGCTTAACTTTGACTCAAATTTGTATTCAAGTTTTGCTCAACTTTAGGCTTAAGTTTAGCTTGAGTTATCTCAAGTTGAATCAAGCTTAACTTGAAATTGACTCAAGTTAAACGAGTCAAATTTTTATGACTCAACTCAACTCAACTCATTTGAATCAAAAGTTGGCTCAGCTCATTCAGAACTCTAGTAATATGTTTCTAAAAAGAAAATTTAGTAATTAGCTATTAATAATAAATTTACAAAATGATCTATCTCAAATTTGAAAAGAAAATCAAACACTAATCAAATTAATTAAATTTAATTTATACTAAATATAGTATATACTAATATTTAAGGTGTAGAACAGAATCTCAAAATAAACAGTTTATTACCTTAATCGACTGTTATAGACGCTTACCTAAATCTTATTGATTCCTTTCAGATATTTCCATGCCATAGTTCTTTATTTTTTATGACTTCTTTGCCTAGGCTAAAGTACAGATTGCTAAATAATCAAGGATTGTTTAATATATAACCAATAATATCCATAATAGATATACAGTATGCTTCACCAATATTTTTAAACATTGATGGTATTTTCTTGCTAGAAATATTAATTTGTCATGATTTTATAAGAGTAAAGGCAGTTTCTGTTTATACTTTCTAAACCTTTGGTTATTTGGTATGATGTCTTCATTTTTAAATTTCAAATAATGAATTATATCTACTAATTAATTATATGCCTGTATAGCTAATAAAGAATTAATATAGATTATCTTATAATTAGTTATCTTATAATTTGTTTTCTTAATAAAATTTGGTTTTATTATCTATATATTTCAAAAAAAATCTGACTTATATATGTGATAGTTTTGCATTCAACTAAACATTAACAATTTAGTGACTAAAGATGATACAGCAATTGATTTCAAATTTACAAATTGTTGCAACATAAGCTAAAATTAGTTGCAACATTATAAGTTGCAACATATATAGGTTAAAACTAATTGCAATGTAAAATGTAACATTAAAAGTTACAACATATTAATTACAGTTCCAATCTTTATCAGTGACATTCTTAAAATATGATGTAAAATTACTAATATCATTTGGCAGTTGTTAATTATTAAAAGCTTGATTGGTAATTACTTCTTCATTTGAATATTTTCGCTCATTATTTCTTTATCTTCTTTATCATCTTCATCTTCTCTATTGTCTTCATCTTCGTCACTTTCATTAAACTTATTCATTATTCTTTTATAGATATTTTCAAATTCTATATCACTTTCATTCATTTCATAATTATCTGTATCATCTTCACTTAATTCATTATCATCTATATCATCTTTGCTTACTTTTTCAGTTTCTATCATTTTTTTATTTTTATCATTTTTATACCAATAGGCGGTATCATTTCATTTCTAATGATAATCACATTTTCGAGAAAAATAAAATGTAGTAAAATAACGCTAAAAATGAATTATATATTAATGTCAATATTTAGTACCTTCTATTCTAAAATATATTTTGTTTAATTTCAAAGGTATGTTAAATGTATTGTATCACTGTTTAATATAATTATATTGAATATTGCTAGAAAAATATCAGTTTCAAAACATTTTTTTCAGAGTAAAAAATAAAATATAATTCTTTGAATAAAAAAATAATAAATTTTATTATATAAGT